ACCATAAAATAAGGGGTCCTATTGCACCGTGCAGGTAGTTGGAGGGGCGAGACCACGATGATTGTGTCAGAGTGGGGCTACCGTTACGTCAGTCAACGCGCAAAAATTTGAATTTTTGAAGGAAAAATATGAATATTTTCCTTGCTGTACTTTGCATTCTTAAAAAATATCAATTAATCGTTTTTCCCTCTATCAACTTCCGCATAAAACTCCGTTGAATTAATCACTCCGAATTGAATATTTCGGCAACAAATTAATCGAAAAAAACTGTTGAAAAGATTTCTTAATTTATGTTTATACTGTTTAAACCTTCCCTCAGCAGTATTTTAAAAATTTGAAAGAGTTTTTACCGTGAAAAGGCACCAGGAAAGAAGAAATTTGAATTCCTTAATTTCATGACTTTTTGACGTTATTTCATTACATCGATCCCACTTTTAAACATTTAAAAATTCATCCATTTCCAGTTAATCACGTAAATGAATAATTACTGCAGAAAATCATAAGAATTATTAGCTGCAGAGACTGATCGAGCAAAGGTAATTGAAAAATGTTCACAAAATCAAAAATATGTGGTCTGGCTGACAATTGTGGAGTGAGTGTTTGCCAGACAATTATTTGGGATTTGTTCTAATATGAATATTGAAAGAATAAATAGATTCATACCAAAAATGGAGTTAAAAAAATTCGTTCATACAAATCATTTGAGAGAAATTTCCTCGCCGAATTTTCATGCTAAAATCATTTTGAGTTGTCTGCTGTGGCTCATATATCGGCAAAAAATATGAAAAATAGATTAAAATGTGAGGAAAAACCCCATTCGTTTCAAACCCAGCGCTTTCTGTGGGAGATTTGTATTGAAAAAAAAACCTCTAAAAGAAATCTCATGAAGTTCCAATAGAATTATCGGGCGAGCCTGATAATAGTTTCCGTTAAATTGTTTTTGTGTTATCAACCCAAAAAATTTTGCCTAAAAACAAATTCCTGTGGAATTCCTCTTCAATATCTCAAAACTTGTTTTAGGCAAGCCTTTGAAAAGTATTGTAAGCTGTCGACAATTTTTTATTTATGTCAAATTATGAGATGTCAAGTTCATAAGTGGAAATGCTGGCGCATATGGTTCGGGGGAGTCCCCACTTTTCCGGAAACGATGGATAGGGCAGACTCTGTGGCGGCGCCGATTATTTTTAAATTTACCCCGAAGACGTACCTGTCGAAGGGTGATTTTATTGAGAGGGTAGGTAGCCTGTTCGAAGCGCGATGCGGGTGGGAGTGAGGGGGGGGGGATAAATTCCTTTGCTTTAACCCCAGTGATCGGTCAAAACCGATTTTACAATTGGGAAAAGTGGGAACAAGTATTTTTCCATAAAATTCCCTCCTTGCTTTCCACATTCAGTCTGTTCTTTTGGAGTGAGAGACACACAAGTGTATTTAACTACCAAGTGCCAGTGCAGATTATTCCGATATCTTTTTTCTTCAAAATTTATCTAGGATCTCTTTTAATTTTCAATTTTGTCTGAGTTGTGATGGAGTCTCAGGGTAAGAAATTAAAAAAGTTTCATTATAATGGTGAGTGGGAGATGTCTTTTGCATGTTCTGAAATAAGGCGTAAAGTAGTGTGCATGTTATGTAAAACAACGTTGACGTGCCCAAAATCGTTCAATATCGGGAGGCACTACACGAATAATCACGCTCAATTTGATATTGATTTTCCTCTTTCTTCGGAAGCTCGTGGCAACGAAATTCGTGTTATGAAAGCAAAGCAGTTGTCATCGTCAGATGCAATTGTTTTGTGTATTAACGATTCAGTAATAAATTCCGCAAATGTAATGCCTCCCTAAATTGAACGATCAAGCCCAGTGTCGAAGTCCCGTAAATACAGTTTTAATTTGAGGTGGGAAAATTTATTTGCATGCTCTAAAATTGGAGGAAAAGCCTTCTGCTTATTATGCGACTTCGAATTCGCAAGCCTGAAGTCGTTTAACGTGGAACGACATTTTAACAACCGTCGTGGTAGTTTTAACGCAGCATTTCCTCTCGATTCGGATGCGCGATTGAATAAAATCGGTGTTTTAAAAGAAAAAAAAAATCAGATCAGTAAAGACCACGCAACCGTTTTATGTAACGATAATGCACAGACCGCGAATCTAATGTCCTTTCAAACGGCATAACAAATGGCTAGAAACAAATCATCCTTAGGCGCCGGGGAAAAATATAAAGGGCTTTTCGTGACCCATATAAGTACACTCTTCCGGGGCACTGAGCTTTATGAACGAATGACTACATTTGCTCGTAAATTACCGGTTTCGCGACGTTCACTCACGCGGAGATTAGAATTAATTAGCAACGATCTACGAGCTCAGTTGCGAACAGATTTCTCGCGTTGTGATTATTTTTATTTTCAATTAGAGGAATCAACGGATAGATCAGATCACGCCCAAGTCGCAGTTTTCGTTAGATTAATTTTCCCGGATCTTTCCGTCAAAGAAGAATTATTCACCATGTTTTCCTTGCAAACCACAACAAAGCGCGAGGCCATTTTTGCAGACTTGAAAAACGATTTCAGTGCTGCAAAAGTGCCCCTCGATAAGTTAGTTAGTATCACCACGGAAGGGGCGGGTAACATGACCGGGCGCGTGAAAGGGTTTATTGCGAGATGCAAAGATGATTCCGATTTTCCCAAATTCAGTCACTTCCATTGCCTTCTTCATCAATTAGCATTATGTGTTGTGACGAAATTCCAGGCGAATCCGTCACCTGTATTCCCGTAGGGTAACTACCTAGATTAAGGACGAGAGAGAACCGCGAAAATTTAATAAAGATTGCCTGCTACCTTGGTTAGATCCGCATCTATCAGTTACCTGCTACCTTAGTTAAGCTCGCGAAAAGCTACCTGCTACCTTAGTTAAACTCGCGAAAAGCTACCTGCTACCTCTGTAAAACTCGCAAAAGCTACCTGCTACCTTAGTTAAACTCGCGAAAAGCTACCTGCTACCTAATCTCCTCTCGGAGACAGGTACCTGACACCTTCCCTGGTTTTCCCCAGGCTCGCGACGCTAAGATAATCCTGAAAGTAGTAAGTAGAGACAGCATTTAAATCCCTACAGTTTAGAAGAACCCTGATAAAATTTCGGTTACAGTTATCGATTAGGCAATAGTTTAAATTCCCCTTAAATCCCCCGTATAATAATTGAGAATTGTCTGCGCCAAATCGGGTCAAGGGCCGGGGACTATCGAGAAAAATTAGCCGATATACTGTGCTTCCGGTCGTCCCTGAAACCCTTTTTGGGCTAATTGAGTGGGACAACCCATCGGTTACGTTGAGACACCTACGCTCCCTTAGTCGTGAGAGGGTTGGGGTAATCTTCAGTTTAGTACGGGTGGAAGGCCATGTGAGCGAACGTAGCTCTCTCGCTTGCATGCATTGCCAAGAGCTTTACGGTTTAGCAAATTAAGATTTAGGTTTAGTTATAGTTACAGAGAAATTAGGATTAGTTAGTTTCGTTAAAAGATCCCTAATTCCTCTCCGGAGAGGGTCCCTACCGTATTAGCTACGTGATAATAGGCATAGACGGGGCAAGATTCCGCTCCCCCAAAATCTCGCTCAAAACCCCTGGAAAAACTTTATTTCGGCTAAAAACCGGTCAGCATAGTTAATAGAAGCCCAGAGTAATAGAAAGTAACAATAATATTAATATACAGTAGTAAAAATACAAAACCCCAATTTTAAATTTGAATTTGTTACACGCCGCGAGCTGGGAAAAACTAGAATGTATTAGTAGTTCCGTACGTGAACACGCGCGCCGCCACCGGACGGGCAGACTCGAAGAAAATCCCCCACCATGCGCAACAGGTTCGAACGGAACCACGCGACCAGCCGGCGTTAGTTTCCCCCGTGCCGTTATTCGACACGTGCGTGAAAATCAGACAGTGTATGAAAAAGACGCCACACTCCTGCCCCATCCTTACCTGCACTTCTAAAACTGCATTCCCGAGACTCCACGAGCACCCTGGTAAGTACCCGTGGGTCCAATTAAGTTCCAATAAGTGCGGGAAGTGTGATTTGCGGGTAATTAGATGTCGCGGGCACAAAAATTCGGAAATGGCGTCGCTACCTCGCGATATGACGCCATACGGGAAACTCATGGTTGAGAAAGCCAAAAGGCCTCTCTCAACGGCTACCTCTGCTCCCTAATGCTCCCTGATGCTCCCTCGTGTTAACCAACAGTTAGCTAATCATTTTAAACAGGTTTTATGAATTAATTTCGCCACGAAAGGGCAAATTATACCGGATGAGGCATTCCACGTGGCTCGGAATACCCCTCTCCCATGCTACCTATGACTGCCTATTCTCCACGCTAACTCTACGTATTAATTTTTACTGACTTTTCGATACCTGCTACCTACTTTATTGGGTTTTCTAGGCTCACCCGACGAGCTCAGGAAAAGACCCCGCTACCTGATAGTTTTTGCTACCTTTACCGGGCTTAATTTTGCTAACTCGACTGACACTTAATCGCTACCTTTTAATAAAAATTCATCGGTGACCTTCCATTCAAATCATTGCTACCGTTACATTAAAAATTTTATTGCTACCTCTTATTAAAAACTTCGGCTACCTTCGCGAGGCTGGATCAATTTCTCTGGGGGTGTGTTCCGCCAGGGAACAGTACATGTCCAGTAATAGTGATTTCTAGTGCATTTTAGATTTGGTAACTAGAGGTTGGTACTGTTACTGGAGTTGTGTTTCACACGGCTAGTAACAGTAACAAGTGATGTCACTAACTAATAAACAGACTGAGAGATTCATATTCATTCATTACAATTACTGATATTTTTATTCTAATTATTTATATCTGACACTATGTATTTGTAGAGATATTATGAAATTTGTGACCTTGATTTATAATAACAATAAATAACGCAATACTCTTCAACCAACGTCGGGATATAACCAAAAAACTCAGTTGTGATTAGTGGAAAAGTTTGATTGACGAATTTAATTCAACGAAATTTATGGGAGCATCATGGATAATCTGGAATATGTCGTGCTGTTTGATGATTTTCTCTCCTCGTCCAGTAGCAGTGATGACATGCTTGATGATCCTCATGGAGATTTCATCATTGAAGATCGTCGTAATCTAAGAAGGATTCCTCGGGTCGAGAATTTCATTGAGACTGTTATTGTCAGATATACAAGCGTGGAATTTCAACAAAACTTTCGGTAACTGACTTATATTATGATAAATTATTCCTATCAACAACGATTATTAATTTATTTTCGTTTGCAGTATGGATCGCACTACTTTTGAATATCTACTTTATTTAATGAGACCAGATTTGGATGGAGAATTACGTGAATTTGGAGGAGTCACTATTAATCCTGAGAGACAATTGTATATTGCTTTGTACGTACTAGGAACTCCGGATTCTTACAGGTTCATTCGTTCGATAAAAATTAATCCGTCTTAAAACCAATTATTATTTGATTTTCTAACATTTTGTCCGTTCTCAATTTAGATCAGTAACCACAAAATTTGACGTGGGCAAGGCTACTGCTTGGCGTGCTGTTAAAAAAGTCGTCAGGGCTCTTTGCCAAATGGGAAACTATTTTATTCGATGGCCATCTCGTGAAGAGGCCTCGGATCGAGCGAAAATATAAATTTCCTGGAGTTATTGGGGCAGTTGATGGTACCCACATAGACATTGCAGCTCCGAAAACAGATCCTCAGTCATACATCAATCGTAAAGGAGTTCATTCATTACAGTTACAGGTACTCTATTGATTTTCGAAACTCAAATAATTTATATAGAAGAATATAAGGTATTTACTTGCGTCGAGGTCTTCACCATAAATATACTGTAGTAATTCATGTTTGTTTGTAATACAGGTGGTGTGTAATGATAAATTGGAATTCATTCACTGCTACGCAGGTCTTCCAGGGTCGGTACATGATATGCGCGTTTTCATTTATTCGGGTGTACAGCAACGGTGTACGGAGGAGTATTTTCCAGAAAATACTCACCTTTTAGGTGACTCTGCTTACACATTGCAGAAAAATTTAATCGTCCCGTATCGTAATAATGGACATTTGACGATCGAGCAGGTTTATTTCAATAAAACATTATCCGGCACGCGTATGATGATTGAACGTGCCATTGGGCTTATGAAAGCACGTTGGAGATATTTTTTGGATAAGTTACCAATGAGAAGAACGGATTTGATTCCGTACTATATCCTAGCTGTATGTATACTGCACAATATATGCCTGAAAAATGAAGATACCTTTGAATATCCGATTATTATACCGGACAATATAGATGGCTCTCCCTTCCCCCTAGAACCACCCAGTGTCCGTCAAAGCATCCATCTTCTTTTCATATCTTCATTTCACCTTCAACCATGCCTACGAAAGCCATGTGTATACACATACCCCTTTCTCAATCCCAGTTTCACCCTTATGCCCGGGCTCTACCCTCACGTATCTATTTAACCCCTAAATTAACGATTTTCCCTCCCAATCCCATTTATTAATATCTTCAAATTATCCCCCCAAATGTGCCCCTCCTTCATACGCTCCTGATCACTTCTGCCGTGAAACTCATTTTCGCCTCTCCGAGATTGAGAGGCCACACTATCGCCATCTGTCTAAACTTCGTTTCCCTAAAATTGAAAGCTGATCGCTTCAATTGCGACGTTACTCATTACGCGGAGTGAAGCCGTCAAATTGTTCCGGGAATAATTGACAAAAATAGTGCATTAGTGTTCACGGGTCGGAAATTAGGTTTGAGAAGTGTCCAGTGTGTGAAAAAATTATGATAAGTGTTCTTGTGAGTGACAGTTAGCCACGCCATATTGACACTGTGCCACGGTGTGGCAATTTGGACAGGGGGCGACGATAGTGTTTTTTTAATCTGATTTTGCGATCACTAAAAAAAATACTTCCATTCATTTTTCCGCTTCCAGACCTAATTTCCGACCCACCGAAATAAATGATTGATTTTTTACGACCAAAATTGGATTTTTTCTTCCAATAATACGGTCGTAATTAGTAACGCCGTAAACAGTCAATTTTGATCCATTTCCTAGGGAATTTCCTAGGGACATGTCGGGCAGAAATCCCTCCAATCGGGCGTTAAATTATTAACAATCGATTCCAATTGTCAAAGGGTAAGTCACAAATATTAAATGGCTTGACGCTCTTTGATTGGCTTACAAGCACGGACTCCATCCTAGTTCATGCGCCACCGCTACGGACCCGTGTGGCTGAATTCCGAAAACGCAGACAATTTCCCCTATACTTACTAGTTTTATTCCCTAGAACAGCCCACCCAAACAGCCCTAGGGAATAGTAACGCTCTCGAAATAAAACTCTTGATAAAGTGAATTCTTATCCGTTGCTACGGAGTAACGTCCAGTAACGTCAAATTTACATGACTGGATTCAGTCACTTGAAATGTTCAGTCCCTTTAATCAATATGATTTGTGAAGGACATGCTTGGCGTGTTTTTTATTTCACGTATTTTTTTGTGAATAAAACTGAGAATATGTTTTGGGAAAATATGATCATACAATAAAACCTCCACTTGGCAAAATTTTTTCACAAAAGTTTTTTTATGATTTTTTTATAGGATTTCACTTCGTTTTGCAAACATCAATTATTTTCACCGTAATATAATGAACAAGATGCATTATCTGTCAATTATCAATCAATAGATTTTTTTTCCCTCAATTTTACATCTTTCCATTATTTGCATGGGAATACGTTATAGTGCAACGAACGATAATAGCCCTCATAGGGTTGAATTTGATAGATTTGATGAACTAATTCGTTACAGGATTGGAGTATGGCAGAGCTCCGAGAAGTTGACCACCGAATTAAATAAATTAATCATTTCGACGATGTGAATCGTTTGCAGGTGGTTTACAGGTCAATGATAGCCAAAAATTAGCGTTTCATCGACAATAGTTGATTTCTAATCATTGTTCAAACATGATGAAATTTTTAACCGGAAGATAGACCCCAAATTTTATAAATATATAAATAAATTATTTGGACTCTGTGAATCGTTTGCATGTGGTTTGCAGGTCCATGATAGATAAAAATTACCGTTAGATCCATAATAATGGATTTTTAATGATTTTTGTAAAATAATTTAAATTTTTATAGGAAGTTAGCCCTCAACTTGAAAAATTATTAACATCTACTTATTATGGATTAACCGCTAATTTTTAGCTATCATTCAACTGTAAAACACCTAGAACCAATTTACAGTGTCCCTAATATTAATTTATTCAATTACAGAAAACTGGGGTTCATCTTCCCATAAAAATTTTAATTATGTTCAAAAAATCTGTGAAAATTAATTATTATCCATCGAATAAACGGTAATCTATCATTGATCTGCAAGTCACCTGTAAACGATTAACAGGGTCCAAATAGTTAATTTATTCAATTCGGTGGTCCATGCCATACTCCAAGGCCGAATTAGTTCAGGCGCCACCGCTACGACACTTTCATTCGGAAACTTATTCATACCCATGAGTATGTCGCCGGTAGTCTCTGGACAAAAGGAGGAAAAGAGAGAAAGACACACATTATGATATTCGTTGCCAACTTTGACGAACAAATCTAACGCTGCGAGAAAATAAAACTGAGGAAATATGACATTATGATGGTTGCTATGGAAGGATATTTTTATTTAGTGATTCAATCGAAAAAGTAAAAATATCTCCATAAAGCTCACAGTCAACTTATGTAATGTAACTAGGCCCGATTTCGCGAAAAATTCTCGTATTACGTGAAAAAAAATCAAACACATTTTCAGAGTAGTTGTGTCGTGTATATTATACGCGACAGAATCGGCATGTGACGTCACACTGGTAAAACCTCCACTTGGCCGATACGCAGTCGCGTATCTTGATCTAAGAATGCTTTGGCAAAATAGCGTGCGTTTGAAGGGGAAAAAAGCAATTGAAGTTTTTTTAAGGGGTTAGGGGGGAGTTGTTCGCTGAAATATAATACACGACAGCTCTCTGCCTGTGCCGTCACCTCTGCCTGTGACGTCAACTTGGCAGATACGCTATGGCGTATCTTGATTCTATTCTATTTTTATTTGATTATTGTATTGAGTCATTGTCATCGCTTACCGATGAACAATTTCATCGCGGGACATCTGAAGACAACAAGGAACTACATTAACGGATTTTGGCGTTTCCAACAAATTTGGAAAAAGGAAAATATAATTTGAAGGATGTCTTGTCTCCGCGCTGAGCCTTGGTGATCAATAAGGACAGCAGATGGCGCCGTCGGATGGACCATAAATTTGGAGGAATTTGCTGCGGAGTTTTGGGAAAATCCGAACGAGAAAATTTTTATTGGGTTGACGAACTTTGAATGCAATGGACCAATTCAGGCAATGCATGTTGGTCATTGCTGAATTAATACAGGGTGTCCCAGAAGTACATGCTAATCCTTTACCAGCATGTACAGGGGGTGATTCTGAGCCGAAAAGTCCTTTTCCACTTTTGGATCAGAAGCACCCCCCCCGGAGATATTGGGGTAAATAGGAGAGCCAATGACGCTGCAGCGTTAAACGACAGTACGTCCGTGTGGCACCGCACACATCGTCGGCTGCCTAAAAGGGGCGGCGCTCATACATGTATCGGAGCCACACCGACGTACTGCCGTTTAACGCTGCATCGTCATTGGCTCTCCTATTTAAAACAAGGTCGAATATAATTTTAAGAGCAAAATATTTTCCATAAAAAACATATTAAGAATTTAATCCCTGTTTTGTACCATTTAACCCCTACAGCCGTTCAAATGTACGATAGGAGAAAAAAATTGATAAAAAACGGAAAAAATTTCATTTTTCAATTTCAAATAATGTTAAAAAATATTAAAAACTCTGAGTCATTATATTTTCATAACAACATAATTTAATTCTAAAAAATACTATGAAATAGGACGGGTAACTTCTAATCCAATTGATGACAAAAATTTTTTTTTCTCCATAATTTTTATTCTTGATTATAAAACAAAGTTTATCCTATTTACCCCAATATCTCCGGGGGGGTGCTTCTGATCCAAAAGTGGAAAAGGACTTTTCGGCTCAGAATCACCCCCTGTACATGCTGGTAAAGGATTAGCATGTACTTCTGGCACACCCTGTATTTTAAATGAAGTATGATGTTTTACCGATACCAGAATAAGATAATATTTAGTAAATCATTAATAAGTGTAACCGGACTTTGATAGAGGCCCAATCAATAAATCGATTATCGCCCATTGTTAGCCAATCTAATGATTGGTAACGTTATCTATGACGACGCTCGACTTGTCGTCGTTCTATCGAATCACTCATCGTTTGGACATCATTTAAAGCAGTATTATTATTTGTGAGCCTAGTTAAATATATCGCGGAGAAAAATGACTGATTTTGGAGAGGTCCGACTGGTATTTAGAGGACGGTTGCATTTATTGGAAAAATCTAACGCCCGAATCAATTTATTGGATATCGGTAAGCGATTGAACACTTCCGAAAAGTATTTTTGGTTAATTTAATAATTGTTAAAGATTTTTGATTTCATTAAGACGCTTGGCGTCCATTGTCTCATGGTGAATTCTCTAAAGGAGACTTTGTCTGTGCTTGGAAGAAGTTATTTATAATTTTCTAGCGATATATTCCGAATATTTTTGGTGTTATCGACTCTTGTTCACATTATAAATTTGGAATTATAGCATCATTAGCGATGCTTGAGTAATTTATTTTCAATTGAGAGGTGACTTACAAGGTCAACGGATTTTACAGGAATTCAGTGACTGAAAATAATCCGAGTGTATCGTGTTTTCATTGTGGGACGTATTACCACTTGTTCATTAACCTGGGGAATATTGATTGAATTCCTTTATCTCAGATTTCATTTTACTTCGGTTATTGACTTCATCATCTCTTTAAATTAATATTGTATATTTTATTTGAGAATTGGATATTGCGATTTAATTTATTTATATTTTTTTTACATTGAATAATTTTTTTTTACAATTCTTGACAAATGTCACCTTGCATTTTGGCTTTCTTTTATGAGTTTGATGATTAGGGATTAGTGATTAGGAATTTTAACTTATATCGAGTCTTCGACATTGAAGTCTGTAGCCTAAAAATTGTAGAAAAGTTTATCAAAAAAAAATTATGAATTGGTTTATCGAGATTATCGTCTCAATCGAATTGAACGACGAATAAATAGTCTTCTTGTAATTATATGATTCTTGTAATTTTTTTTATTTTGGAAAAACCCAATCATTTTAGAGTTGTCTTTAGGAGCAGGATTATTGAACCCAGCCGACTCCGCGGTTACTGTTCCTGTCGTTATTTTATTTGAATGTTTTTTGTGCATTTTGATGAGAAAAGGTACTGGCGCTTGACTTAAATTTAATTAGTTCGATTGCAGAGGGCTTCGTATTTCTTTTCCTTTCCACGAGGAAGCGAAATACGTCACAATACAGGATTGAATAGAATTGTACTGAAGCATATGATTCATAGCCCATGCGGGGAATTGTGTTTCAGAGATGGAAAGTGCTCTAAGCGTTTCCCAAAACAATTCCAATCAGAGACAAGGCTTGATGCTCGCAGTTATCCAATATACCGTAGGAGAGATACTGAACGAGAATATGAACTTCCTGGAGGAAGAATGGTTGATAATCGATGGGTTGTACCATACTGTCCTTTTTTATCTATCACATTTGATTGTCATATCAATGTAGAAGTTGTAGCAATTGTCGCTGCGCCTAAATAACTTTATAAGTATATCCATGAGGGCCATGATGCGGCATCAATTAAAGTATCGACTAGAGCAAATAATAACCCGGACAGGAATCACGAAGTTCTGAATGGAGACGAAATACCAAACCATATTGAAGCGCGATATGTCGGTCCAAATCAGGCCTACTGGCATATTTGTGATCAGAAAATACCAGCAAAAAGTCAACCTATCATCAGATTAAATGTTCACTTACCGAATGAACTGTGACGAAATTCCAGGCGAATCGGCCACCTGTATTCCCGTAGGGTAACTACCCAGATTAAGGGCGAGAGAGAACCGCGTAAATGTAATAAATACCCGACCAACACGGATCCCGGGACCCGCGTCTATTCGCTACCCGCTATCTAAAAACCTTCGCGAAAAATTCCCTGAATAAATCCCCGGGCTTGGCAAATACCTACCTGAATCTCGCCAAGAAAGCTACCTACTACCTTAGTAAAACTCGCGGAAAGCTACCTGCTATTTAAATCAAATCCGGGACAAGCTACCTTAAAAATCCCCTATTAACTAGCTACCTGCTACCTAATCTCCTTTCGGGGACAGCTACCTGTTACCTTCTCTAATCTTCCCCAGGCTCGCTGCGCTAAGATAATCATTAAAGTAGTAAGTAGAGACAGCAGTTAAATCCCTACAGTTTAGATGAACCCTTATAAAAATTCAGTTATAGTTATCGATTAGAGAATAGTCGAAATTTCCCTTAAAAATCCCCCCCTAACAGTAATTGAGAATTGTCTGCGCGAAATCGGGTTAAGGGTCGGGGACTATCGAGGAAAATTGGCCGATATACTGTGCTTCCGGTAGACCCTGGAACCCGTTTTGGTTAATTGAATAGGAGAACCCATAGGTTAGGTTGAGACGCCTACGCTCCACGGGTTGTGAGAGGGTTGGGGTAATCTTCAGTTTAGTACGGGTGGAAGGCCATGTGAGCGAACATAGCTCTCTCGCTTGCATGGATTGCCAAGAGCTTTACGATTTAGCAAATGAAGATTCAGGTTTAGTTATAGTTACAGAGAAATTAGGATTAGTTAGTTTCATTAGAAGATCCCCAATTCCTCTCCGGAGAGGGTCCCTACCTGATGAGCTACCTGATAATAGGCATAGACGGGGCAAAAATCCGCTCCCGCAA